TTTTGTCTGCTCCTGTTGGTGTTTCCAATCCTTGGCTTCTCTAGCACCCAACCTAGGATATATGAGGCAAAAAGAAAACTCAAGGAGCTTACTGCCATGTTGTTACTTAAAGAAGTACAAAATAGGGGCTGCAGGATTACACAGTGTAGCAATAATAACTTGAGGATATTAAATAAGCTTTTTTGAAGAGTATATTCGAACAGAGATGTGGGGTTTTCTGCATGCAATAGCTGTCCAGTAAAGGTGTATCCAACAATTAAATTTAGAAAAGTCAATGTTCGCAGCAGTTTTTGCAAATATATTCATTTTGCCTGTTTAGATGGTATGTAAATGTTACATGTGGAAACTTATCAGTAACTTGGGCATTTTTATCTTTGTTTTTCCTCATTGTAACTAGAAATTACTTAAGAAATCATTGGCCTAAATAAAAGATACAAACAAACGCTTCAACAGGTACCACCCTAATCTGAGAATTGAAATTTATACAGCCTTTCCTTCCTTAACAATAAACTGAATGTGTGTGAATGTTGACAGCCTTCTCTTGAGCCCCAACCTGGAGCCAGCTGCACATTACCTACGCCAATGTACCTCTAGAGGCAGCAGACAGTCTTCACTCTGCTTTGTTATTTCCTCGCGGGAGATCCTTTCCTCTCCGCTGCCTCCCGCCCCTCCCCCTCCAGTTTTACGCACCCGTCTGGCGCGAGCTGCGCCTTTACTCTCCTCCAAGCCTCAACCGCTGTTATTCAGCCAGCCTGGCTCCAAGACAACGGAGTCATGTTCCTTCTTCTGGGCCTTCTTACGGTAGTTGGTGGTCTGCACACAGGTTCAAGTAAGTCCTCCTCCCAATCCAAGCTTTTGAGGAGACTTCGTTCACTTAGGGGGCTGTAGTTTTTGATTGAGGATCCAGACCCTGTCCTTACCCCAGTCCCTCCCTCTCCCCACCCACTTTCTCCCTGCCCTTTGTTTCAAGGGTCTGTAGCCAAGAAGGCAGAAAGGGAGGCTCCAGGTAGAAAATCTTTTTACTTCTCTGCGATGGTTTCCCTGTCTGTACAATGGACAAAACTGAAATATGTAGTCTTTTCCATATTCAAAATCCTGTTATTCTAGGAATAGTTGCATCGCCCTAAAAAAGCCATTTATGATTTCCTGACTGGCTAACTGCTGTCTTCAATCTGATCCGCTGAAAACATCCCCCTTGTACTCAATATTCTGTCTTTTACCTGCAAATGATCCCTCTTTCTTGAGGTACCTGTGTTTTCTCATTTCCACACCTTTTTTTTTTTTTTTGCAACACAGGTCCGTGATTTATTATTCAATGTTACTTAGTCAAACTTTCAAGTAACTAGGTGTGTGTATATGTCGGGAGAGAGAGAGAGACAGAAAGAAAATAAAAATTTGAGATCTTGGCAAGGGTTAAGAAATTTGTAGATGAGAATGACCAGTAAGAGTGAAAAGAGAGTTGATGCATACTAACAAAAAAAAATGTAGAGAAACAAAGGCAGAATTGTATTTAGAAATAGATAATGTAAGATTACAGGTATCAAAATAACTGCTTATTTTTTTTTTATTTTAGATTCTCATAAAACATTTCTGCAGACCACAGTCCCTGAAAAGATTTCATCTTCTGACACAGAAAGAGATCCAGAAAATAATGTAATTGAGAAATAATATTTTTATATCTTAAATTGTGTTAAGTTGTCTTTAATGTGAAGACCAACATTGCTGAGTGAAGGCAGGTGCTCAGTTTTTGGAGGCAAAAGCTTATAGATCAGACCATGTTCACAAGAAGGAGCATTTTGTTGTGTTTGAATGTGTGTGACTATGTACATCTTTCTGTTAAGAATGAAGGATTTTAAAGCTACCAAAGCCGGGACTAAGGAGAGACAAGTAAAGTGTTTGATTCAGGCACAAAATTTGGTGGGGGATGGCAAAAAGCTGGTATTCCCCCAGGACCAAGATTAGGGTGAGGTGAGTCAGGGTCAGATCTTGTTTTTCTTTAAAATTTAGATATTTTGTTCATCATGAATTTTTTTTTTGCATTAATTTTGAATGTTTAAAATATTGCATTGAAATAGTATATTGATTACTGAGTTTTCTGGCTTCTGTTCTTAGCCCTCATGATTCTTTGAGCTACAGCGGTCCCTCCTTACCCACAGTTTTGCTTTCCGTGGTTTCAGTTATCCCCAGTCAACCATGGTCCAAAAATATTGAATGGAAAATTCCAGAGGTAATCATAAATTTTCAACTGAGCACTGTTTTGAATAGCATGGTGAAATCTTGCACTGTCTAGCTTTGTCCCATGAGACATGAGTGCATCCCTTTTTCCAGTGTATCCACTACACGTTATCATGTAGGCATTATATCATCTCACATCATCACAACAAGAAAGGTGAGTACAGTACAGTAAGATATTTTGAGAGAGAGACCTTAATCATATAATCTTTATTACAGTATATTGTTATAATTGTTCTATTTTATTAGTAGTATTTGTTAACTACTTACTGTGCCTAATTAATAAACTTTATCATAGGTATGTATGTATAGGAAAAAACAGTATATAGTGTTTGGTATTATCCATGCTTTTAGGAGTCCACTGGTGGTCTTAGAACATATTCCCTTGGATAAGGGGGGACTACTATACTTGCTTGACCTTTCAGTGAGTCAATGAGGAGCTTAAAGGTGATCTGGTATTTAGCATATTGATGTCACAGTTGGAGCTTAGGTATTAGTGCACATTCCTTTTCTAATTCCCCAGAAAAAATCTGCTTCTCACTTGGCTCCTTCTAATATAGGATAATCTAATGCTAGTCATAATTGTGGCTCTCGAAATTTATTTTTTTCCTTTAGTATTTTAAGAAACTTTCCTGTTTCACATAAGGATATACTGGTTGTATCAGGTTCCTCTCTTCCCCATTACTCCCAGTTCTCTAACTCATGTCGCCCTATGCTCTTTCTCTAAATTTTCTCTTTTTAGTAAAGAAATTTTACTTACAATCCCCTGCCCCGAGTGAATTCTCAGCCATACTTGGTGTGTGAGCATTACTCTAGCTTATTTTTCTGATTGGAAAGAAGGGACTTCGTTTAATTTTTTGTTTAATTTTTTTTCCAGAAATTAATAATAGCAGTCATTCCTCCCTATTATTTATCACTGAGCAATCTTTGAATTTCCCACTTGTCCAATCTCTAGCATTAAAAAGGCATTTAATAATATGGCAATTTAGTGTTTCTTTTATCTATAACAATTTTGCAAGCTCCCTTTTAATATTTTTGCAACAAAATTATTTTTAATGCAGAGTGTGATTGTATTTTAACATATTTAGTATAATTTGAGGTAGAACCTGCAAAAGTAAGAATGTCTAGGGACACACATAGCTCCCAGATTTAGCAAATAAAATATGGAACACCCAATTAAATTTGAATTATTTCTAATTGCCTATGCATATGTACATAAATATTGCATGGGACAAATACTAAAAATTATTATTCATTAAAAATAAACTATAAGTATCTAAATTATATAACTTTTTCTTTCTTGAATTCTATTTCCCTAACGATTTGACTTTCTTTAATTTTTTTTTTTTTTTGCTGAATTTGGTTAGAAAATTTATTGCAGTTATTCCATTTATATTGTAACAGTTTCTACAGTGGTCACATTCAATTTCTTTCATTTTTTTCCATTCAACATTTGTTAGTGAGAAAAAACTGCACATTAGTATTGCGAGGTAGTTTACAGACCATGTGCTGACATAAAGTTAATAACTGATCATTGGTCTTCTTAACTTGCTTTTCCATTCTTCACTATTATGTTGCATCTTAACAATTTTTTAAAATGTCCATTGACAAAAACAGAACATTGTCATCAAATTTTATTTCTTTCTTTTCTAACACTATAAAGAATGATTCCACTTCTTCCCATGCTGGAAAAGTATTTAGTAACATCCAGATAACTGAATTTTTCAAAGTATTAAAACAATTCCAAAATATAGAGCAGGTGCCATAATAATTATCCACTTCAAGCTGGAATTTCTTTTCCTGTTCATAAGTAATGTCCCCTTTAAGAACAGACTTGACCCTTAAAAGAAAACGTTTTTTGAGGTGGGAGGTTCAATTCTTTCTTCAACACATTCAATTTTAAGTAACAATATACTTCATTGACACTGTTTGCTCTTCTTCCAGTTTGCAAAATCCTATTGCTAAAGAAATAAGTAGGCCCCATTCAATAGATTATTTAGAAAGTCAAGAAGAAATATTTGGGCCTTGTTTTGGAATTAAAGCATGTTTTCAGTGCTTCACATAAACAAGATTCTCTCAACTGCATTTGTTAAAGAGCCAACAGATTTGGTCAGTGAAAGAGAATTGAAGAAAGTAAATGTCAACAAAATCACAAAAATCCTTTAATCAGTTCAAACAGCATAGATGCTGAAACAAAAGAATAATGCCATGACAATGAGATCAGTGTCAATAGAAAGGACATCAGATGTTCTTTGAGCAACATTATGCATTATATGGCTGGGACACCAATGGCTTTTATAGAGTCATTCATGATTTGCTTCAGTTTTGAATAAACATTGTCTGCATATTTATGCAGATGTTCAAAAATTTGTTTGTATTATCCTCTCTCGAAGCAGTACAATTTCTCTGATTAACTCAATAAAAGAGTCCCTGCGAAAGTTTGCTATTGTCTCTGAAGTATCTTCTGGATTTTACTCACAAATAGCCTTATAAGCAAGCCTTTTAAAATACTGTACAAGCAGAGAGAACTTTTTTTCTGCATTGTGACTACTTGCACCCATGGCTGTGCCCTAACAAAGTGATGTGTAGATCTTTAATAATTTTTTAGTAATTGCAAATTACAAAATTCCAATCTTTAATTATTGTATTGTATATTTCAACATGGCACCTGAAAATTTGCTTGTAATTTTGGAATCAGAACTATTTCTGTGCATTCAGACAGTCATTTGAGCAGAAAGACTGATGATAAGTGTGCAAAACCATTACAGTGTCTGATGCAATTCTTATATCTTCATCTGAATTTTCCTTAATCCAAAAATTTTGTGTAACATTTTTTTTGGTACTGTATGAGGAAATTACTCATCTCTTTCCTTAGCTGTTAATATATACTGGTTTATATCTGACTTTCCACCATTTTTGATACTGCATGAACAATTGCATATTGCACAAAGAGCTTCAAAAGGAACTTAACTTTATGTGATAAATTTCTACTGTTCAGAAAGTCATCACAGTATTTACACTTGTGTTTTGGCATTTTGTGCTTTAAATATACATAAATAAAAATACATAATAGTTTCAGAATATTTCAAAAAGAATTAAAAATGCGGAATTTGATTATTGCTTTTTTCCCCCATAGTCCTGTTCTTTTCTCTTTTATTCTGTTTTCTGTCCCCTGGGTAATCTCATCTAACCTTTTTTTTTTTTTAAATCTAAAATTGATGGGGTGACATTGGTTAATAAGATCAAATAGGTTTCAAGTGTACAATTCAATAATACATCACATATATATTTCATTGTGTGTTCACCATCCAAAGTTAAATTTCTTTCCGCCACCAGATATTTGACCCCTCCTTTCCCATATTTACTGCCCCTCTCCCCCACTTTTGTCTGGTAATCACTATTGCACTATTTGTGTCCATGAGTTTCTGTTTGTCATGTTTGTTTGTTACTTTTAGTTTTATATCCCACATAAGAGTGAAATCATATGCTTCTCAACTTTTTCTGGCTGGCTTATTTCGCTTAGCATGATAATCTCAAGATCTATTTGTGTCATCGCAAATGGTAGTATTTCAACTTTTCTTATGGCTGAGTAATATTCCATTGTAAATATGTACCACATTTTCTTTATTCAATCATCTATCAAAGGACACTTCGTTTGTTTCCATGTCTTGGCCACCATGAATAGTATTGCAGGAAAAATTGGAGTGCATATATCTTTGTAGATAAATGTTTTCAAATTTTGGGGGTAGATACCCAGAAGAGGGATTACTGGGTCATATGGTAATAATATTCTTAGGTTTTTGAAGAACCTCCATACTGTTTTCCATAGTGGCTGTACCAATTTACATTCCCACCCACAGTGTATGAAGATCCTTTTTTTTTTTTGCCAGAACCTCTCCAGCACTTGTTATTGTTTGTGCTGTTGGTGGTAGCCATTCTAACAGGTATGAGATGGTATCTCATGGTTTTGATGTGCATTTCCCGAATAGCTAGTGAAGTTAAGCATCTTTTCATATAGTCTGTCAGCTGTTTATATGTCTTCCTGGAGAAGTGTCTGTTCAGGTCCTCTGCCCATTTTTTAATTGGATCTGTGTTGTTGTTGTTGTTGAGTTGTATGGGTTCTTTATGTATTTTGGAAATTAGGCCCTTATCGGAGGTGTTGTTTGCAAATATATTCTCCCATTCAGATGTTTGCCTCTTTGCCGTGTTGAAGGTTTCTTTTGCTGTGCGAAGCTTCTTAGTTTGATGTGGTCCCATTCATTTCTTTTGCTTTTACTTCCCTTACTTTTGAGGTCAAATTTATAAAATTCTCTCTAAACCCAAGGTCCATAAGTTTAGTACCTATGTTTTCTTCTATGCAATTTATTGTTTCAGGTCTTATATTCAGGTCTTTGATCTATTTTGAGTTAATTTTTGTGTAT